GTGTGTGTGTGTGTGTGTGTGTGTGTGTTGCTTAAACATCACGGCTCATTTACATAAATGAAGAAAATTTCAAGAGTGTCGACTGGATACAAGAAAATAAATGATAAAATATATAAAAGGACAGTTTTGCTCACGGGTTCGAGCTGATTTGACTGAGAAACCGACGCTGCACGCTCCATCACGTGATGAAGGTAAAGGCCTGCACACAGTCACAGTCACTGAGTGGAGACAAAAAGGAAGCTTTTAATGCTGATATCTGAATCCAAAGTGACAAAGTCCAAAAGTAAACATGAGTCCAGGACTGGCTTCTAAAGAGGAGCTGCCCCCTGCTGGCCAGGAGTTTAAAAGAAGGTTAAAGGCAGCTTTGACCAGGGTTACTTTTCAGAGCCAAAGAGCTGCATGTAAAGTCTGTGGGCCACTGAGTGAATGTACCACTCTGCTGTCACGGAGAGTTTTTAAGTGAATAATAGCTTAAAAACGGCATTTTCTGGCGGTCTCCTCTCAGGTGAAGTCTGCCGCTGATCCTTTGACACTAATCGGTGGGTTTAAGTCAGCGACTCATCCACGCTCGCAGTTACAGGAGAATCAATCGAAGTCGAGCTGGGCATGTTGTCCATGCACGTCTTTATCTTTAGAAGTTTTCACAGAATATTGTTAAACGACTTGAGGTCAATGAAAGTCTGTTTGTCATGTCTGTGTCCCATTGACATGAGGGGCGTGGACACAGTCACTGGAATATGGGCGACGGCGTATCCTGGCCCCTGTTTTCCCTTCTGTCTTTACTGATGCATTAGCAGTACATCGTGAACTGCACCTCCTGGGGGAAGTCTTGCCAACAAAGCAGTCAACAAGTCCTTGAAGTGCTCTGGGAACGCAGCTCTGTCTCCTACTGTCACTTGACTTCTTTCCCATCAGTTCACTACAGCGTGTTTCGTCACCGTGACCGATGAAGCCAACTGCAACTCCCATGTTGCTTGCATGTGTAGAGAAACAAAAAAATGGAGGAGTGCCCGTACGGTGCAGACGGCGGTGTGCAGCAGAGGCTGATGTTTCTGGATCAGCAACACTTGATAAACAGAACTCCTCGTTTGTGTTTTAGCCTTAAAGACTTCCTGTTTACAGCCAGTATTTACTTTTTACTGCTTTAATATGATGGTGGCTAATTTTAGCCTAATGTACTTTGTAAATGCCATTACTAAGTTCACCAGCACACTTCTCTGTTCTGGCTGCTTTCACACTATAGTCTAATATTTA